TCATAATCCGATGTTTCTTCAAATTTGGAAGCTGATGATGAAGATTCTTCATCGTAAGTCTCGAATGCCGACATTGGGAAAAAAATCGAGTTTGATAAACTTTGATTCCCGATAAGATAAGATAGAAACGCTGCTGTAAACACTATATTTATTGTAATGTGACACTAGTCGATTTTCTTGTCTGCCCGGTATGATGTCAAAACCCTAGTTAGTTCTCAGCCTCTTTTTTCCCGGCCAACTTTTGAGAAAACCCAATTTTGGCATGTTTGATCCAACATATCTTTTGGAAGTATTTATCCGACCATCGAATGATACATATCATTCGGATCGCCTGATTTTTGCGAATTTTTGGTGAAAAAATGGTATTCATGTCATATGCACTTTAAGTGATTTTAACTGTGGACTGTACTAACTCTCAAGTAATTAAAGGATATTGGCAATAATTTTTTTTTATTCTTGCTATCGGTTATATTCAACCTCCTGATTATGAATATGTGATTATTTTTCACCCAAACTGTTTTGCTTTCTAGTTATTTCATGATTAATATTCAATTCTTCCGCCATCTTGGAGCGATTTTCAAAAAAATTATCTTTTGGTACTATCTTTTACCCTTGTGACATCAGGTGCAGGGGAGATCAAATCGCGATGTCATAGTTCTTAAGAGATTTTGCACTTTTCAATTACTTGAATGAAAAATAACCATGATAAACAAGTGGAAGAGGTATTGCCCTATCAATTTGAAAGCGAATCAGGTATGAAGCGAAGCAATATCATTGCGTAGAGTGACTGAGATGATAGTCAATTGTCTGATGAGGAAGTCGACCATACCTTTTAGGCTAAAAATGGTTGTGTCTGGAGCATCTGAATGCTATTGAATCATTATGTTTGCACGAAAAAGAGTTCGAATACGAATTTTGGTAAACCGTATTTGTGATGATTGGTTCTTCTAAAAAAAAATAAATAAGATACAGCTAGCAGTTAGAGTGCATCAAGTGTCAATTGAGCCACATTTTTCCCCATTTTACTCCGTCTAGGATGGCATCGTTGAGCCATAAACTGCAAAAACTACAAAATAGGGCTGCACAGGTTATAACAATCTCATCAACTCTGTATTTGCTTATTGTGAAACAGTTTGCCTGAATCTTTGAAATTATCTTCATTGCTTTCTATGTAGCGTTAGTTTTTGACTCCCACACTTGGCCACACAGCAACCTGATAGATGCCTCTCATGAGTCATGTTCTTTACATGTTTACATAGGGCCTAGTATCCAATTTTATAACTTAATTTGTAGCGTATATACTGAAAAATGCTGTGTCTACAGGATGCACAAACAATAAACTTATAGACAGATTAGTAGGATACCAAAATAACAAATTTGTATGTTTGTTGCGCATTAAACGACAACATGTACAGCCGTATGGAGGCTAATATGGTCATCTGATCCGGGTTGACCAAATTGAAAATGTTGACACCATTAAATATATATAGCTGATATGCTATTGTTCCTTGATGATGCCTGCCAAATTTTTCGCCTTCAATTCGACACTAGCGAAATAAATGTAGAGATGAGTATACAAAATGTACAAATTAGACGAGCCGGCGTAATTGACATAGTATTAGCTATAATGATAATCAGCACTTTTACAATGGCAAAATAAACATGTTTATTTTAAATTTACCATTAATACGTACAGTAGGGTACTAGCGCTTAGTTTTTTTTTTGAATTGAAAGAAAAAAAAAGTATATCTGTTGTTTCTGTTCAAAGTCATCTTAGAGTGCGCTTGCATGCATACTATTGTAAATCTGCTCCGCTGCACATGAGGTCACAAACTTATTTTTGCATAAATTAGCATACAAGTTTTTTTTCAAGATGGCGGATGACTGCTTTCGGATATGTCTAAGCAAATAAACACACTGGACAAGTAAAAATAGGAAATTAAGTATTTCATAGATATGCTTAATTGATCACAGGAATAAAAATATTATTGCCAATACCCTTTAATACATTCTTTTTTCCTGTTAATTAAAGACATAACTAATGGAAAATTAAATATCAGATATTCTGGTGTAAAAGTGTGGAATGAAATTGATGATGAAGCAAAGAAATTCAAGAAGAAACAAAAGAAATATCTATTGGAGAAGTATTTGGAGTGAAGTTGAGGTATCCCTCCAACTGTATAGCATTAGATGTGATTTTTTTGGGGGGAGCATGAACCAGCACACTTTTATTATATTTTAGTATAAAAAAAATACATCACGTCCTGTTTACACAAGAAGTCAGGCTCTACGGACGGATCTACCATAACATTGACTGTCCAGATGGTTAAAAAAATCAGATCAGTGTCAAAAAAATGAAGTGTGCTGGTTGCAGGAATATTAATAACAACCTTTGACCTCCGGACACTGAGCTATATTTTCACTGGACTAACATTAGAATACAGTATCACTTCCGGTGTATATGGATTTCCTGTTTTTGAACCAAAATTAAAATGCGCCGAATTTACATTTCCCACAAAATATTTAAATTTCACTTCGACTGTTCAAGATTCTTGTAAACGTTCGCTTTTTAGTGCAAAGTTTGAGAAACTTTGCAGTATTGTGATGAGTGGCGAAAATTCAAACGAGTCAGTAAGTCAGACAGTCAGTCAGTCATAGTGTAAACTTTACGGGGGGGTAAGTTGATTTATGTGTATAGTAACTTTTTGTATATGATCAGTAATTTAAAGTTTTTAAATCAGTTTAACTTGCTTTATTTATTAATACACTATATCCCTTTTGCAAAGTTCACCAAAATATTGAGGAATTTGACGGTTACTGTAAATTTTGAAGCATTGCTTTTCCGCGGTTTGGGTTTTGTTTTAAAGGGATTTGCGTAGGATTACCCCCCGGAACACCCGATTTTTTTCTTATACGTCGCAACTGCGCATGTGCTTTCGAGACTTGAACATTATTCACGATGTAAAGAAACGAGGAGCGACGAACATTGCTTCAAAACATTCCGGGCGTAAAAATCGAGCAATTCTTTGAGAATCTACGCAATTTATCAACTTATGTTATGGATTACGAGCGTTCAATTCCACACAAATATAATTTGGAAGGTTTATTTCATAAATTGAGCTAAGAGGTTAGGAAGAAACGACGCTGTGTTGTTTATGTATTGATAGATCTCTTACACGAATGTATATTATGTCAATAGCAAGTCGATACCTGATATTCTGCATACAGTACATAAATGATACTGTACAAAACGGACATTTTGTGCAGTAATCAAATCATTTTGGCGGTATACAGTATTGATTATAAGTATATTGTTTTGTATCGATTTACGCGTCGAAGTATCCACATCATAGACTATATATGCACCGCGGTTTATTTACATTATTTACAACGCAACTAATTTGGCTATTCTTATGAAATGACGGATAAATTGTTGCCATCGTATAAATGTAGTGAATGTAGTCACAGTTGTTTGACGAAGAAAAGAGACTAAACTGAGAAAATCGCGCCCGGTTAAGCCGGTTTACATGGGCAACTATAAAATTATAATTTAATAGTGACAGTATCCGCGCCTAACGTAATTTGAGTACTTTGCGTAATTTTTATTTTGATTAATGTTTAACCTAGTTCACCGGTATACCGGCATAAGTCAAAATGTTTATGTTGGGACAAACATCTGGTTGCTTAGGTATTACAGGGCATGAAAACTTTGCACTATCCTTGGATCCCTAGTTCTCAATATTGATAAAAATGATTACTTTACTTCCAAAAGGAATACAAAACTTCAGTAACACTTGCTTTGCTAATAATACTCTTCAAGCATTAGTATCTGTTAAAGGATATGGAAATGGACTCTTGCAAATGGAACACAACCATTCACACGACTCATCGTCTACAGGAAAGATCCTGTGATTTACATATTTTATTGTCCGCCCTTTTCATCTATATTATTCGTAATTCTGGGTTGTCATAAGAATTATATGTAAGATAGAAATATGATACAGGTTAGGTGATACTGAAGAAATAGCTTAATTATTTACAATATAACCAAGGAGCAGTGTGGCAGCGTCTTCAAACAACTTAGCATCAAATGCGGTATAACAACTGCCTAAATAGACAAAACACTTCTCGATGTTTTGACCTGAGGGCCTTTGTTAGGAAAGTTAGTATGAAAATAAATAGGGGAGAATACATGTTTTGTATGGGGGCAAAACACGTCATAAAAATGGGCCAATAGAAAACAAAAAATCAAAACAAATTGGAATACAGTACATTGCCAAAGAGGCGCCTGACCAGTGCTTCCACTTTCAAATTTGAAATTTCCATCAAGTGAAGCCGAAATTTCCATAAATTTGACAAAAATTCCATAAACAAGATGTTTAATTTTCCATAAAATTTCCACGAAAACTAAATCAAGAAAACACAGTATTTAAAGCATTAAAATTGTTTTCTTTCTTTAATTGTTCAATAAACGAAACTCGTAACTTTGAGGCATCTTCATCTGTTGCTTTAAATTTCATCCGTTTGTGAAGATTGATCATTTGTGTTGTAGGGTCCATAAGTGATGCCTTTCGCTTTCCTTTCTTAGAGAATGATAGCTTCATTGAAAGTAGAGCTAGAAGACTTTCCTGCTTTAGAGCTGATCTTCAATCATCCTTGATCAACTTTTACTGGCTAAAGACCCGCTCGACTGCTGCATTTGAAAAAGGAAGGGATAACAGTGTTGCGACAACTTTTGTCAATGATGAATTGACTAAATTGATTAAATTTGTTATTGAGGCTCTTCAAAATTGTGTCATTTGTGTGTGTAGGATCTTCAATTGCTGCTCCTGTGAAGTAAAGCTTTAATGGTTCATACTGCTCTACAATTCTGTCAACGCACAATTTCATTGACAACCACCTTGTTTGTCCAGGTTTCAGGAACTGGTGCTTTGGTATATCAAAAAACTCTTGAACTTTTGAAATTCCTTTGTTTGAAGTGGAGAAACATGGAAATATGTTTATATATTTCGGCACAAATCCTCTAGTGACTTAGGCAACTGTAAAGATGCACGGGAAGCACATAAGTGAATCATATGACAAGAGCATTTCACTGGTATAATCCATGGATGATTTTTAACTAATAGCTGTGAAACAGAATGATACTTGCCAAACATCACATTGCATGTATCTGCACAGAATCCAATAATATTGGTCATTGGAATATCCTTATCATTAAAGCATCTCAATATAGCTTGGTAAATTGTGTCAGCCTTGCCATCTTCAAGTTGTACAATGTCAATTAAATCATTTTCCATTTGAAATGTATCTGGATTGAAGTATGTAACAAGAATAGCTAGCTGATTTTTACAGGTACGATCTGTTGTTTCATCAATAATCAGGGAAAATTTCCGTGATCTTAAATCTTCAATGGACTCTTTAATAACATTAAACCCTAGTACCTGACGAATAATGTTTGCAGTCTTATCATGTGGAAACAAACTGGTTAATAGGGCTAACAAATCTTCACTCAAGCTTATTGGAAGATTGTGTTCTACAATAAAACTGGACAGTTTGATTTTGAGTTTCTCAACTGCATCACGCGAAAAACCATTCATAAAAGTTCCGATACGTGTATGAGACTTCGTCAGATCTGCGTGCATTTTAAATAATTCTTGGTGCTTTTTCCCTTCTAAATGTCTCGACAACGCAGTTTTTGAGCATGATAATTTAACCTTGCACACTTTACAGAAAGGCATACGAGTGCCTTCATGTTTCGCTTCAATCCAATCTTTAAATTTTCCTTCTGTAAGCCAACTATTGCAAAATTTCTGCTCGTATTTCTTTTTAACATTTTGTGTTATCCTCTGGGGTTCTTTATCACTGGAATCATCATCGCTTGACTGTCGATCTTCATACATAAAGCTATTTATGTAAATTCACCTTTGACTACAGACTCTCAAGTTACAAAACATAACGCTTCAATTACCATGATCGTATGCATTGGGACAGATCTTATTTTGGCGCGAAATCCACAAGCATAAACAAAGGACACAAACTAAACAAAGTATACTGACAGCAATGTTTTGCAGGGGGAACGCGGGGGAACGGCGTTCCCCCACTATTTTGACGGCGTTCCCCTTGCGAAAATTACACATGGGGAACGGCGTTCCCCCAAAACGAGATTTATAAAAGTATAGAACTCATTATAAAAGTATAGAACATTAATGCATGATCAATTATTGTAATTTCTCAACATATAGTAAAAAATATATATAGATCCGTGCTTGGTAGCCAAGCCTTGAAGTGATTCCGCTTATTCAAATTTGTTAGTATCTAGAACCTTCGAAGAACATGAAGTGCCTAGTCACGCAGTCACGCTAATGTTTTGCGCACATTATGTGGTTTCCGGTAGGCGCGCAAGGAAATGCCTGAAACTGACGAACACGGTATAATTCTGTTAAGAAATAAACGCGCCCAGTGCGTAATACTTCTCAAATATTTTACGCTAATCTTAATTGTTTTACTGCCTCGCCTTTACTAGCTAAAGTATAAAAGGGCTTGTAAATTTAGTAATAATATAGTCTCGCTAAACACTCTCAAGAGTGACATCTCTGTAGAACGGTATCAAGTATCAACGGATTTCTAAGGAATAAAATAATATCAAAAGATATTATCGTCCTTGTGCTAAAAACACTTAAGAAATAGAATATTAGGTTTTATAAGTTGGTAAGGAAATGTCCAAACAACCTACAATCACTGGATTTTTTAAAAAGTCAGCTGAAGTTTTAGTTGCAGAAAACGAGAAAGTACCAGAACAAGCAGAACCCCAACCGGAAAATGCAGGTGAACATAGCGAACGTGTCGAAACCAACGAAATTGACGAAGCTGCAGGTCCATCGACAGCGGCTGATGTGATTGACAAGCCAACGATCTGGACGGATAAAATGTGGCACGAAAAACAACAACTCTACCCATGGCTACAGTGTAAGAATGGAAAACTTGGGTGCAGTTTCTGTATTTCCGCAAAAGATCTTGGTCCGCACAGAACACAAGGCCGTTACCTGAGTACAGAATGGCAAGCAACAAGCGTGACATATTACGGGAATTCGCAAGAAGCTAGGTTAACTTCACTCCGTAAAAAAATTTACAAACATTTAAACAGCGATGCACATAAACTAGCAGAAGAGATGGTGAATCAGCAGAAGAAGAACATCATGCCTGCGCATATAGACGTCATGAATACTGAATGGTTAGATACAACAAAAAGAGTTTTTCACACGAGCTATTATATAGCAAAGAATGATCGACCGTTAAACGATATCGAAGGGTTAGTTGACTTGCAAATTCATAATGGGCTCAATATGGGGACTGGGCTGCATTCACGATCTTCTGCAACTGCTATAATTGACCATATTGCATATGAGATGCGTTCCACAATTTGCAAGACCATCAATGAAAACAAAGGGAAAGTGTCTATTCTGATCGACAAGTCTACTACTGTGTCTGGTATTTCAACACTGATAATTTACTTAAAAGCTCAACTCGAAAGGTCAGGAGAAGCACAATTCTTGTTTCTGGACTTGGTGGAGTTGACAAATGGTCAAAGTGCAAAAGAGGTTCATACAGCACTACTTGCTTGTTTAAAACGGCATGGGTTTGACATGGATTACTTGCAAGAACATTTTGTTGCATTTACAACAGACCGAGCTAGTGTCTTGACTGGAAAGAAGTCGGGAGTCATGGAGCTACTTATGAATGATTTTCCAAATCTCATCACCTGGCACTGTTTGAATCATCGCCTAGAACTTGCGGTTGACGATGCGATTTCAGAATTGATGGGAATAAACCATTTTAAGATTTTTGTTGAAAGACTGTATTCAATTTACAGCCAATCGCCCAAAAATGTGCGCGAACTACGAGAAGTTGCTAAAAGTCTAGATGTCCAGCTTCTAAAGATCGGTAAGGTACTGAGTACGAGATGGGTTGCGAGTAGTCACAGGACGGTTTTGGCAGTTTGGAACAACTACGAAGCACTCTGCAAACACTTCAAAGACAAAGCAGCTGAAAAAGGAAAGAATTCAACAATGTACGAGGGGTTAAACAAGCGAATCCAGTCGGAGGAATTCTTGTTGGACTTGGCACTCATGTGTGATGTTCTTTTTGAGCTTTCTGAGCTCTCCGGGGCCATGCAACACCGTTCAATGAACATTGTCAAAGCCGACAGATGTATCAAGCGGTCCATGAGAAGCATCGAAACATTGAAGCGCAAGACTGGAACAAAGTTGATGATAGCCAAGGATGCGGTCAAGGAAGGAAAATTTGGCACTGTACCGCTAGTTTCCAATGGTAGACATGTCAATATTGATGCTAATGCACTAATAGACAAATTGCTAGATGCAATGAAAGATCGTCTTTTGCCACATGTGCCTCTGGAACTGTTCGCGAAAGTGCTGCCTATCAGAAGCTTCTTGATCAGATTTGCGTTCTCTACCCGACTTATTGGCCACAGGATCTTGATCTAAATTATGGCGAGGAAGAGGTACGATCATTGTGCGATCGGTTTTCCCTTTCAAGAAGTTCAACAGTGCCTGTGTTCCAAGACTATGTTGATAGTCAAGGGAGACGAGTACCTGACGATCTCCAACCTCTATTGAGATGTTGCTCCTGTATCCCGGTCTCATCGGCAGAATGCGAACGTGGGTTTAGTCAAATGAACTTGGTTTGTACGTCAGTAAGAAATCGCCTACTTGTTGAACGAATATCGAATTTAATGTTTATTAAACTTGTTGGTCCTCCGATTAATGCTTGGAATCCAGAAAAATATACTAAGTCCTGGCTGCGAAAACATCATTCGGCCAATGATGAAAGAGTAAGAAAGCGAAAGTTAGAGGAAGATGCTGAAAGTCAGCAGGAGCAAACAGCCGCAAAACAACGACTTTGGCAATTACTTTAGACATTTTAGACATAAATATCACTGATATAGAACATAGTCTTAACAAGATAATTAGTTTGAATTTACTCTTTGTATAACATGATATTGTATAATTTGTATTATATGTATTTTGGCAATGCCTAAATTGGCTATTAACTTATTACAGGCAGTTGACCACGCCCATATATAGGCCACGCCCATATATAGGCCACGCCCATTGAAATTTGAAATACGCGTTCGGCGTTCCCCCACTTCCAAAATTTGCAAAACATCGCTGAGTATACATAAATTGTCATTGCAATCCCCAAAAGTCCCTGTATATCCTTATAAATATTGAATTTTAAACACTAAGCTCTATGAGTTTAAGTTTAGGTTTAAGTTAAGGTTTATAAGTCAGTTTAATTGGGGAAAGAAAATATTGAAATTTCCATAGAATTTCCATAGGTTTTTCATTTCCATGAAAAATTCCTTTTCATTGGGCAAAATAATTAAATTTCCATGAAATATGGAAATTTCCATCAAAGTGGAAACCCTGCGCCTGACTGTGGGCCAAGAATAGCCTGCAATGAGGGAAGCCTGATCAGCAACGAAAACATATCACAACCAGCTTTGATATAAACAAAGAAATGGTAGTCATATTACTATGGGTGAAGTAGCTTAAATGAAAGAGAGCTTTCATTTATGCCAGAGGAATGAAGAGTGCCAAGACTGTGGATGAGTTGCATTTCTTGTCGTTTACGGCTATCGTTAGTACCGAAAATGGGGCAGAGTGAATTTTCATGTCTGTGACACAATGATTACCAGAAGTGTCTGGCAACAGGCTTGGTGTTATTGTGGTTGTTAACCAACCTATGGTGTTCACCAAACCATACCCTTAGAGATCTTCCAGTTTCACTGATATATAGTAAACCACATTTGTTGCATGAGATGCAATAAATGAGGTTGGAGGAGAGGCCTGTGAAATGGTGCCTGATGAAAAACTGTGAGTTGGGAGCCAAAATAACAGTGCTGGAATTGGTAAATGAGCATGTTTTACCTGGGAATGTGCCATTGGCTCTGAACAGTTTTGCTGTAGAGAGCTGTGAACCAATGTGTCCTGGATATTTTTGTTGTGCCGAAAAGAGACTAGGGGGTTATCGGTGAAAATGGAAGATGCCTTGGGATCATTCTGCAGGATAAGAAAATTCCTAAGTAAAATATCCCTAACAGCAAAATTGAAGGGATGATGTGTTAGTACTAAGGGAGTAGAATTACTGCTAGGAGTGCTAGAGACAGAGTCACTAAGGGTGTCTAAACAGGAAATGTCAGAGGCCTTAGATAAGGCAGTGTCAATAAGTGGGAAGGGATAGCCGCGCCCAACAAAGAATGTTCTCATCTCAAGACATTTGGACTGGAAGTCATCATCTTCACTGCAAAAGCGGCGGAGACGAAGGAATTGTGAGAAGAGAATAGACCTCTTAGTGTGGCTGGGATGGAAGGAAGAATATAAGAGGTAGCTATGGAAGTCAGTGGGCTTGTAAAACACTGAGGTAGAGAGCCTATTGCCATTGATGGAAACCAGAATATCTAAGGATGATACACTGGTCTCACTTATCTCCCATGTGAATTGGAGTGCTGGATGAAATTCATCAACAAATTTGATGAATCTCTCCAACTCAGCACGGAGGGCCAGGGTACTGTTTATAGATTTGTTTTTCCACAAAACCAACAAACAAGTTGGCATAATTGGGACCCATTTTAGTTCCCATTGCTACACCACTTATCTGTTGGTAATGCTCACCATCAAAGGAAAAATTGTTGAGAGTGAGCACCAGTTCTGCTAATCTGACCAAAACAGTTGTTGATGGTTCCTGAGTGGGGCGTTTGTCTAAAAAGAATTTGAGGGCCTTCAAACCATCCTGGTGGGGGATAACAGTGTACAAGGATTTGAGATCCATTGTGAAAATGAATTAGTGGGATGATTGAAAGTGAATGTTGTTGATTTGAAGAGCATGTTTGGTATCCTTGATATAGGATGGTAAATCCTTTACCAAGGGTGCCATGACATGGTCTAGAAGGCTGGAAATGTGTTCAGCGGGACAACCCCAAGCAGACACAATGGGTCTTCCTGGGTTGTTGAGTTTGTGGATTTTTGGGGAGAAAGTGCGACCAATGTCAGTTGCCAGCCTCGTTTTCAGGCTCTTGGAAGTTTTTGCGGATACAGCACTGAGTGAGTGGGGGTGCTTGGGGAGTTTGCAAGGTGCGAAGAGCCTGTCTGAAAACGAATCCAAGATGGCCGACAATACGAATTGCCTTTATGCAAATGAAGTAGATCTAAATCGGTCATCTGTTAAATACTTTCGAAAGACCTATTCACAAATCAGTACTCTCGGGTAAAATAATATGTGCTAAAGATAATTGCATCACTCAAAGAGCCTTTTTCTGTGAAAACAGCATTGTACAACATCTTCAAGAGCTTGAAGAGATGCATGCCGCATGGAACTTGTAGTATTGCTGTAAGCTGGAACTGTGCTTTTGAGCAATATTTTTAGCCAAATTTGGATTATCAGCATCTAGAGCTGAAATGATGTCTTCCTAATCTTTTAATAATATTTGTTCAAGATCATTTATTTGATCTTGCATTACTAGAATATCCTTGTCATCTTCTTTGAGCAACTCCTTTGATGCTGTAGGATTTCTGCCATATGACTTTATCATAGGATTGGTATAAATAACTCTGTGGTGAATGTTAAGACCATGTAATATTTTTTGTTTACTTAATGTGTTAACCATTTTACCCAAATATCTCAAAAACACAAGTTGGCACTGATCAAAAACACAATCCATCAATAGAATAAAAAAATAACAATAGAAATAACAATGAAAATTAACGTTACAACAGTTTTCTCAATTGAAAAACGCGATATGATCATCCACGCCATCTCTCAAAAGAAAACAAAACTATACTTATTCAATTTTATATAGGATACATAGTTTCATGATCAACCATGATTCTTTCTTTTGAGCTATTACTGTTCTTGTCAGTAAGTTTTTTTCATCAGGCTTCATATTAAGCAGATCCATCAGCAATAATTGTTTGACATGTGCATTTGGATCATCTACATAGTCCAAAAGGTTTTGTAGCTCAGTTGCTAAGAACTCTCTCCTTATACTACACTGATTACTTGACAAGTTATATGCTATTTGAATAAAAAAATGAATTTGAGGTATATTTGAGATATAATTTGAGGAAGTAATGATGATGTAAACTGTTTTATAAATATATAACAGATATAATTTAAAAACTAGAAAAAATATGCATGGAACAATATGATTTATTAAATAAAGTTAATAATGGCTTAGAATAGTAAAATAATCATTGTTCATAATTCATTTAATAAACTGACAATAGTATGTAGTGAACTTATTTTAATGTGGTAAAATATGAGTAAATGTATTAATTATCATTCAGTGTACCAGCAAATTTTTTTGGGCTTTGACTCAGCTGCAGCTTTGGAATCAGGTGTTAGACTATGCTTTCCATGGTCTTTTGGTGAGTGTGGTGGTGTAGATGGATCGTTGCATCATCAGTATCTGAAAATTGTCATTGTAAATGATTTTAAAAATCAAAAAAAAAATTAAATTTAAAAGAATTATTTCAAGTTCATATGCTTCTGAAGTTGTTGGCTGGCTGTGGTTTTAAACCGTCAGGAAATTCAAATTTAAGAATACCTGTAAAGTTCTTGGAACGACATGTTTAGTTCTTCAACATCTGAGATTACTTCTATATAAGCAACGGCAAACGATTTAGAATTAAATTTACAAATTCTAATACGCACATGTTCTTGATAAAAACAAACCATTAGTAAACATGCGGCATGTAAATCAGTCTATTTTAATATATTTAAATTACCTTCAGGCCTTTCTTTGAAAGATTCATCAGAATCATCCATTACAATATCAACAATGTTGAATTTAAACAAAAATCCCCCCAAAGCAGCAAAATATCTTCAAATTCCCCAATTTGTGAGATATCGGTCAAAATTTGCCACATATCGGTCATTTTCTGCCAGGCTCTTTGCGTCTCCAGCTGCAACTTCCCAACTTCCCCAAGCACCGCCGCGTGCTCAGTGCTGTATCCATGAAAACTTCCAAGAGCCTGGGAACGAGGCTGTGTCAGTGCAACCACGAAGAGATTTTAGAGCCTCAAATTCCAAAGGGGTAAGGTTTGACGGCATTTTGGGCCTAAATTTAGGAAGTTGATCTATTTCATGTCGACATTGTCTAATGAAAAGATCTAGGGACCCAAAGGCACATTCTGGGGGAGACCAGAAGGATTTTTTAGGATTACTAGCCTCAAATACGTCTTTTGTGGAGACAGAGGTCTGATCATGAAAATGCTATGAAAATGAGTCTCTAGCACTCTTAGCAGTAATTCTACTCCCTTAGTGCTAACACATCATTCCTTCAATTTCACTGTTAGGGATATTTTACTTAGGAATTTTCATATCCTGCAGAATGATCCCGAGACATCTTCCATTTTCACCGATAACCCCCGAGTCTCTTTTCGGCACAACAAAAATATCGGGGACACATTGGTTCACAGCTCTCTACAGCAAAACTGTTCAAAGCCCAAAGGCACATTCCCATGTGGCATTGGCCAATGTAAAACATGCTCATTTACTGATTCCAGCACTGTTATTTCGGCTCCCAACTCACAGTTTTTCATCAGGCACCATTTCACATGCCTCTCCTCCAACCTCATTGCATCTCATGCAACAAATGTGGTTTACTATATCGGCGAAACTGGAAGATCTCTAAGGGTAAGGTTTGGTGAACACCGTAGGTCGGTTAACAACCACGATAACACCAAGCCTGTTGCCAGATGCTTTACCTCTGGTAAGCACTGTGTCACAGACATGAAAATTAGAGCCCTCTGCCCCATCTCCGGTACTAACAATAGCCGTAAACGACAAGAAATGCAACTAATCCACAGTCTTGGCACTCTCCATCCCTCTGGCCTAAATGAAAGACTCTTTCAT